GTCTCCGTTCATTTACCTAGATTTTCCATATCCAGCCGGTTCTCCGTTTGTGTTTTCTTCATTGCCTCCATTTCAGTTTTCAATTCTTGCACTGTTTCCTTTACTTGTTTGATTGTTTTTTCTTAGTTTCTCAGGGTCTCATTCACGGATTTACTTATTTCTTCAAACTTTTTGTTATATTTCTCATCCAATTCTTTAAGGGAATTATTCATATCCTGTTTAAGGGACTCTATTGCTTTCATAATGTCACTTTTTTCCACTTCTTCTGGGTTAAGGTGTTCAAGCCCTTCTGTTGTAGGGTCCTTGGAATCTGGTGTTTTCATGTTGTTTTTCAGATTGTTGGATGAGGTCTTGCCTTGGCGTCTGCCCATCTCTTACTTCAAATGTTCTCTATCGGAAGTTCTGTTACCGGGTCAGGTTCCCTTCTTGGGCAGGCACTTCACTGACAGAATGCCCACCTTTCCTCAGGCAGGCTATTGAAGCACAGGCACTCCCTCTTTCCTGGATGCACTTACAATGCAGGCTCAGCTTGCAAGGCAGCTGAGCTGGGGAAAATTTTATGGCCCCAGGGGGAAGGGAGAAATATAGGAATTCATACCTGGATGGGAGCTGGGATGGCAGGCGGGAGGGGGTAGCCAGCACTGCAGGGTGACCTGGGCGACTGTGGGGTCGGAGAACGCCAAAGCTCTTCCTCACCAGGACCCTGTCAAGGCCCGAAGCAAACTCACCCCTCCAATGGCCCTCTGCTAGAAGTCAGGGCCCCTGCTGGTCAGGAGTGTGGCTGAGCTGGCACCTGGTCCACCTGTCCTCAGGGAGGCCTTTAAGACCCAGGAACTGCCTCGAGCCGGGCTGTGCCTATAGCCCAGGCCCAGCTCGCAAGGCAGCTGAGCTGGGGAAATTTTATGGTCCCAGGGGGAAGGGAGAAATATAGGAATTCGTACCTGGATGGGAGGTGGGATGACAGGCAGGAGGGGGTAGCCAGTACTGCAGGGCGACCTGGGCGTCTATGGGGTCGGGGAACACCCAAGCTCCTCCTCACCGGGACCCTGCCACTGCCCGAAGCAAACTCACCCCACCGATGGTCCTCTGCTAGAAGTCAGGGCCCCTGCTGGATGGGAGCCGGGATAGCAGGCGGGAGGGGGTAGCCAGCACTGCAGGGCGACCTGGGCTTCTATGGGGTCGGGGAATGCCCAAGCTCCTCCTCGCCGGGACCCTGCCACGTCCCGAAGCCAGCTCACCCCACAGAAGGCCCTCTCTATGTCATATTTTATATTATCACAAACATTAAAATGCAAAATGAAAATACTCAGTATCAATGACCTAAAATTTTTTTCTTAAAAGGAGGAACTACTGGAATATCAAATCCAAACTCCATATGGGACATGAGTGGCTTTCACTGTGCTGTTCCTCATCTCCTGAGCTAGAGCGATTATATAACAACTTCTGAAGTCACCACACTGACTTGTCTGTCTGTCCTTTTGCTATTTCCTTGTTTTTTCTTTGGTCTTTTTCTATTTCTTAATAGTTATTAAAGATTGAATCTAAGTGTCATCTCATCTAGAGCCATTCATAACCCCCCACCCCAGACTGCACTGCTGAGGTGACAGCACCCTCTGCCACTCTCTTACTTCCACTTACTTCCTTAAACATGACTGTTCCTGCCTTCTGCGCTCCATAAGCTTCTTGAAGATGTGTAGGGTTGCTTGCTCTGAGTTGGAGGGATAAACTCACAAGTCACTAGGTAAAAACAGTAAAATACACGGAACTATTTTCATTTAAAGCGTTATCTTTGGTAACCATAACTACATGGCTTTGTTTGTTTGGTTTTATTTGTTTGGTTAGGTTTTTCAGTATTCAGTATTCAGTGTTGAATGGAGCCCATTCTCTATGGTGGGATGTCATGCTCAGCCTTAATGCAGTTGGGAGGGGTTTGGTCCTGCCCCAACTTAATGTGCCAGACTTGATGACTCCCCATGGGATCACTTACTCATTGAGAGGGGTGGAATGGGGGGAATACTGTGGTTGGAATGTTAAATGAATTTTTTTTTAGAAAAGAAGCCCTTTGGATTTAAAAGCAGAGAACTTGTGTTCATATTATGTCCTCTTACTTGTTTTTATTTAAAATGGACCACTCTTCCTATCTGTATTTACAGTTTTGAAAAATCCTGGCATGGTGTCTGGCTACAACAAACATGATAATTTTCTTTCTTGATTGGTGCTTGGCTTACTTTTATGGCCCTTAGTGATAGTAACCTACTATTGGTATCACTGGAATTTCAAATCTATGAATTTTCCTCCTAGAATTAGATTTTAGTCCTGTAGTGGCTATTCTTCTCCCTGAACTTAATATAATCAGTATTGTATAAAGTAGATTCCACAGTATTTCTGTTTTATCTTCAATAGAACACTGCATTTTATTTAGATAAAATTTATTCAGAACGTATTTATTTTATTGCTTCAAAAGTAGGAGGACCTTTCCTTTGTTCTTATTGCCAGATAATTCCATCTTTATGTGGTCTCTTTTCATCAGATGTATGCCGTGAGAAGTACTTCCTTTACTTTTGAGTATTATCCAATTTTGCATTATGTACTTCGATATGACTGTTAGAACCAGTAGCTTTAGTTCTTTGGATAATGTTCTAAGAGGACATGCTCACATAAAATTTATTATAGAATTGCCAAGTGGAATTTAGCAATGTGGAAAATGCTTTTAATTAGTGGGTTCTTTGTTGTCACATGTGCTTTATAAATCAAAGTACATATAAGGTAGATAATAGTGATAACAGCAGGCAGGAGGAATGAGAAGATTACGGGGGTATTAGTTGCATTTCCTATCACTAGCAGAATACCTAACAGAACCAAGAATTTATCCTGGACTACAGTTCAGGGATGTGCTCTATAATCCTGAGGAAGGCATGGTGGCAGGACTACATTCTAGCTATAGATGTGGAGAAAAAGCTCATAACTGGGTTGATTAGGACACAGAAGAATCAAGAAGATAAGACAAGAACATGAAATGGAAAGTCTGAGTCTTGCTATAAATCTCAAAGTCTATATTCTAGACATTTATTTCTTCCAGCTAGGCTCCACTTCTTAAAGGTTCCACAGCTTTCCAAACTATCCCCCACAGACTAGGGTTCATGGGACCAAATATGTAAGAACATGAGGGATGTCTTATATTCAAATGAGCCAGCATTATTTTTTATAGAATGTAACTAAAGAGGAATTTCTTTTTTTTCCTTAAAAGAATTACTTTTCATTTTAGGTATCAACCCCAGTTCCTCCCCACTCCCCTTCTCTTTGCCCCCACATCTCACCATCTTCAGATCCCCATCCACTCCTCAGATAAAGTAAGGCCTTCCTTGGGGAGTCAACAGTGTCCAGCATACCAACTTGAGGCAGGACCAAGCCCCTCTCCTGCCCTGTATCAAGGCAGAGCAAGGTATCACACCATAGGGAATGGGCTTCAAAAAGCCAGTTCATGCACCTGGGATAAGTCCTGGTGTCACGGCCGGTGCCTCCCAATATATCAAGCCACATAATTGTCACCCACATTCAGAGGGTCTAGTTGGGTCTCATGTATGTTCCCCAGCTCTCAGTCCCTAGTCCATGTGCTCCTACTACCTCAGTACAGCTGTCTCTGTGGTTTTCTTCATCATATTCTTGACTCCCCTTGCTTTGTGGTTCTTCCTCCCACTCTTCAGCTGCACAGCAGGAGCTCAGTCCGGTGCTTGGCTGTAGATCACTGCATCTGTTCCATCAGTTGCTAGATGTAGGTTCTGTGATGACAATTAATGTCCTCACTAATCTGATTAAAGGGGAAAGCCCTTTCATCAATCCTCTCCACTATTGCTAGGAGTCTTAGCTGGGGTCATCCTTGTGGGTTCCTGGAAGTTTCCCTAGCACCAGGTTTCTTCCTAACCCCATAATGGCTCCCTCTATCAAGATACCTCTTGATTTTCCTCTTCGTCTCTCCTCCAACTCGGTCTTTATCCATGAAGAGAAATTTTTAAAGGGAAATTCTTAATCATAAAAGCCAATTTAATTATAAGAAAACTCAAGATAGGTGAAAGAGCTTCATAGATAAAGGGATAACTAAAGGACAAAGTACATTATAATGGTATACAGCTAGTGTCATTGGAGGTAAAGTGTGGGTTGCAACTTTTCCATGTGCAGAGTAATGAAGTCAGTTTGTTATAAAGCTGAAGGAGTGAGACAGTGACATAGTTATGTTATTCCCTGATCCTGCTCTTTCCTAATGGCCATAGAGAAAAGTAAAAGAACAGAAGAAAGAGATGATGCTGTTTCTGATGGAAACCTAGGATTTATAGTATATTTTAGAAAAGATATTCAACTAGTGTAGTGTGCAGGGAATGGTCTTATTAGCTGGCTTGGGCATGCTGGTTAAGTCTGGACTCTGCCCATAGAGAAACCTTGGCATGTTTTTGATGGAGGAAGAAAAATTTAGGCTGTCTTCTTTGTTGTTCTTTGTGCTATTACATGCAGTCCTTACAGACTGCTATCTCAACTTGACATTGGAGGTGAAACAAAGGGACTTTCAGTAATGCTCAAATTTATGCAGGCAATCAGTGGCTTAGCTGAAATTAGGGTCTAGACATCATGATCTGAAAGTCACGTTCCTGGGTTTGGAGAGACAGCTTATGGGGTAGAAGAATACTTACTGTGTAGGCAAAAGGATCTTGTGCAGGCATGGAAATACTGTAAGTGGCCATGTACATGTCTGATCCCAGCAGTGGGAGACAGATGGGAGATCCTGGACTCTCAGCCAGACAGTATAGATGGAACCACTAAGAGGTGCCATGAGAAACTTTTGTCTCAAAAAATAAACTGGAAAAAGGTTGAAGTCTGCATTGGAAATTTGGAACCCTCATAATACTTATCATTGTTCTTGGTAATCTAGGAGCATAGATGAAACATTGAAATGCAGGAGGCACTGAAATCAGATGAAATGTCATTGCATGTTATGTTTTGTCTTCTAGGTCACTAGAAATAGACCCATTGCTACAATCAATAGTAATCATATCACACGTCATGATGTTTCCCTTGGCCAGATATGCACTAAACCATCTCAAGATTCAAAGCATTCGGCAAGTTGTGGCAAGACAGGGCCACACAAAGTCCTCTTCAGATTTTCATGACAAATACGGCAATATGATGCTAATTAGTGGATTCACTTTCTGTTTTGTTGGATATGTGTTTTTTACAACGCAGATGGGTGTAGAATGGAACCTGTCTCCTGTTGGCAGAGTTACCCCAAAAGAGTGGAATAAGTAATTATCTAAGATATCATAATGTAGAGTTGTCTCAAAACAAACTTGTCATGGAAATGCTTTGTTAATTTAATAAAGCATAACAAAAGAAATAAAATTCATTTGAAAGTTCTAACAAGTCATCACCGCTGTCATTTATTTCCTGGAAGAATGTTAGCTCCTAGAATGCACTAGCAGTGATGTAGACACCAGGGAGTTTGAATACTATATATTTAAAACGTAGGATTTTAAAACAACAAGTTCTTCTGATATAATGACTTATTCTAGGCTGCCCTTTCTCGTTCCCACTCTGGTCTGTACCACCATACTTTCGTGGACATTGATACCCAAACTTCCTCATTACTTTTTTGCTTTTTGCTAATCGTCTTATCCCTTGACCTGATCCCTCTGTCATCGTGATGCAGTTTTTCAAAGGTCAAGATCATCTTAAAGCTGTTATGATGTCACTTCCATCTTTTAAATCCAGAAACTCATTTGTCTCTGGAGTCCAAGCTCTCATATAGGAAAAATGGCTGTAGATGCTGCAAAGACATTTTACCTCCTGTATCTACATGCTTTTGTTTCTTTCTTGTACATGGGATGCACTTTTGATATTTTAATCACGTCTTCATAACTTCTTGGTTTTGCTCACATGTCATGTTTTCAGAGTGTACTGCTGGATCGACAGTGGCAGCACATACCTTTAATCCCAATCCTCAGGAGGCAGAGGCAGGCAAATCTCTGAATTCAAGCCAAGCATTGTCTACAGATTGAGTTCCAGGACAGACCCAACTACATAGAGAAGCCCTGTCTCAAAAAACAAACAAAAAACCCTTCTTCTTCTGTTTTGGCCTTGCTTTCTGTCTCTCTCTTACTCCCCTAGCCTGTTTTCTGAATAGCTCTTTTCACTATCTGACTTTCAGGACAGTTTTTACCCTTCTTTACTATTTGTTTGCGAAACTCTGTAAGATCATAGACTTCAAATGTTTTTTGTAATTTTGTATTCAGAACAGGATTTGGTAGATGAGGCTTTCAATTACATTGAAGTGATAAATAAATGGATGACTATAGGTAATCATAGCCCACAGTCATTAAAACTTAAAAATAGGAATTTGATTTCCACTGAAGGTTGTAATTAGATTATTGGAGACTATTTTAATTATCTGTTTCATTTTACAAATTACTCTGAAACTTCTTCCCATAAAACATTTGCAAACTCACATTTTTTTTTGTCAATTAAGAATCAGAGGATGATGGGGGTGGGGTTTTCTGGTGCAGGAGCTCATATTTCTTCGAAGCATTGAGAAAGAACTGAATTCATCTCAGGGCAGGAGTAAGCACCCACTACAGATCCACTCACCTTGTTGTTGACTAGTCTCAAGACTATGTAGGATGTGGCTGGGTAGATCACAGCTTAGTCTTGTGGGAATCACCAAAGGTAAAATCATAATAAAATAGTAAAATTCCTTACTTTTCCTCTTGAGTCCTTATTGCAACCCATTATTATTATCCATGTCATATATTCTGTTCAAAAGAAAGTAATTAAATCAAGCCAGTAGCTCAGCAGAAGGCATTTGACAAGTGCAAGGGTGTGGTTACCTTGTAAGTGAGATCTTTTGCAATCCTAGGGAGTCTGTGCCTTCTTGGATCTTTGATGGATGTAGAATTGGAATGTTGTAGAGACTGTTTCTATTGTGTTCTGGGAATATTTCTAATTCTTCCTGTATGATGGTGAAAGTTGTCTAAAATTTTAATATCTGATCCGTTGAAGGTTTGAACAGTAGCCCATGCTTCAGTCTGTTCTCTATGTTGTGTAAACTTGCTAAGTTCTTGTTTTTTCTGTTTATATGTTTGCCTTACTTATTGATAGAATTTGGGTAGTCTATAGACTGATTGGATCATGTGGGATTTACTCTGGTGAGCAGAAAAGGAATATGAATAATGGAAAATACAGAATTAATTATGGGAGTGAGGATGAATACAAATGTGGTAGGTGATGGGAAACTGCTACAAGAATTCTGTGTCTATAGGTCTGATAGCTATTCTCAATGAAGGAGGAATGATGCATGTGAAGTAGGAGAGAGTTAGGTCCAACTGGATTTAGGACACTTGTGCTGAAACCATGAATTTAAATTGGAATGTTCTCTACTTAGTCACTAAGATATGTTTATGATCTATAGGAGATGGTGATCACTTCACAATGGGCCTGCATACTTACCTGACCCTTAACTTAACTCTTTTGACAGAAGCTGCTTGTTTGATTCCTGGCTCCTCAGATCGAAATAAAACACAGAAATCATGTTAATTGCAACACTGCTTGGCCAATAACTTGGGCTTCTTATTAACTAACTCTTATATCTTAACCCATTTCTTTTGCTTTATATTTTCCCACGAGGTTTGTGGTTTACCAGCAAAGTTCTGGGGTGTCTGTCCCCTTCTGGAGCTATATGGAGTCTTTTTGACTCCACTACTTTCTCTTTATATCTTTATTCAGATTTCCTGCCTGGCTTTATTCTGACCTGCCATAGGCCCAAAACAGTTTATTAACCAGTTGTAATGAAACATATTCATAGCATACAGAGGGGAATCCCATATCACCTCCCCTTCTCTGTCTAAATTAAAAGGAAGATTTTAGCTTTAACATAGTAAAATTACATATAACAGAACAGGAATCAAACAAGAATTGTAGTTAAAATATTTATTCCATTTACATTATACAAATCAAGGAAAATACTCTATCATCTGTCCTATCTTTATGAGTCTAAAGTTTTATATCTAATTGATCATTTATCATAACTGAGGAAACTATAACTGTCTTTTCTCAACTCTCAAAAACCCCAGAAGGATAATTTACTTCATAACTGGAAGTGCATTTTAAGAGACTTCCGCAACTCTAGAATTAACAGAGACATCCTGCTGCCTGGACAGTCTCCTAATGTTCTCCTGTAACATAAGGGCATCCATCTTCAGCCTACAGACCCATAATATCTGGCAGACTTTTCCGTGAAGCAGGAAATTTGAAAGACAGTTCCGCCTATATTGAAAGTTTGTCTGTCACTTTCTTCTGTGACCTGTAGAATGTCTGGCAGACTCTTTCATGAAGCAGGAACCCTGAAGAACCATATCACCTTTAGCCAACTTCAGCAGTCTATTTTTCTGCGGGTCCTGCATGTCCAGTTTATACAGCATGCATCAAATTCCATAACGAGTTTCTTCAATGCTCATCAGTCTTGCTGAAGTAATTGATGCAGCCAGAAGCAGACATGTCTCACTGTTGAGGAAATTCTGAGTTCTTAAAACATTTTAAATGCCACATTCTGTACATCTTTAAAAGATATGAAGAATACCTATCCATCTGAAATATATCTTTATACCTTCAGGAACCATAGCATGACTACAAGTTTGGGTATTGTAAATGACTATCAATCTATATTTCCTAACTATACATTATATTTTAAATGAGCTGCATAAAAACAATACCTTACTCAAGCAGAAATATACATATAACAAAATTGACTTTAATTTTTATCAATAAACCAAGATCCATACCAATGCAAAGTATTTTAATCTCTATAGCATAGCTCAAAGGAGATAACCTAGTAGGAGTCTAGGTTTAGCTCTTTTTTCTTGTCAGTGAAGCAAGCTGGAAGTTTAGGGGCAAGGAACACAGGCTACTATAGTACTCTACCCAATCTTTGAAGTGTAAAGTTGTTGGTTTTCCATGCTTGCTTTCCTTTTCTCTCAGGATTTTTCCTTATTTAGCTAGCCATTCCCTGAAGTTACAGAAAAGGAAAGATGCTGTGGCTTATATGTTGAATGTCACAACAAGGTCCATACATTAAAGACTTTGTCCTTGAAACTGTTGGAAAGTGTATATGAGGCAGTCTTTTTCTTGTTTTATTCATGATATTTAGAAGGTATTTTCTCCTCATTAAATTGTAGCCAAATAACTAGAGCAAAATTGCCATTCTTTTTCTGCAACTTCTTGTCTTAGGCTGCATATACTTATATACATACATACATACATACATACATATATATATATATACACTTATATACTTATATGCATATACTTACACACACACATATATATATATACACTCATGTGATAGAGTTCTGTACAACATATTACCACATACAATGAATATGTACACTGGAAACTATTAAAACGTAAAATCCACATGTATTATCTATGGAATATTTCAGATAGTTCCTCTTCCTGTTAGGCTGAACCCAGAAGCATGCACCATTTCAAGTTCCCATAAGAAAACATTTCTCATTAGCATAGAGCACCTTCTTCCCATTCTCTTCTACCACCATGTTTGCATAAAGGAAAATGTGACAGAATGGAAGTCTTTTTTCATTGTGAGACAGTGTGGGTTGCCAGTCTCTCTTGACTTCTGTTTTATTGATATGGCCTTTCCTCACACACTCTTTTCTACCATGACGTCTGAAATTTACTACATGTCTCAGACAGATGCCAGCCTTATGTGTGCACCCGATCATGTATTATAGGGAGAGAGGGCCAGCTTATTTTTCCTGGCTGCCTGGCTAGTTTACACCCTAAATAACCACACAGAAACTATATGCATTGAAACACTGCTTGGCCCATTAGCTCTAGTTTCTTATTGGCTAATTATTTTTATAATTAATTAATTTATTTGTTTATAAAAATTTTCACTTCCTCCCCTCTTCCCCATATCCTCCCATTCCCCCCACTCCCTCTTCTCCTCCCCCCGACTCCCTCTCCTCCTCCCTCTCCAGTCCTAAGAACAGTCAGGGTTTCCTGCCCTGTGGGAAGTTCAAGTTCCTCCCCTCTCCCTCCAGGTCTAGGAAGGTGTGCATCCAAACAGACTAGGATCCCAAAAAGCCAGTACATGCAGACAAAACAAGACCCAGTGCCATTGTCAATGGCTTCTCAGTCAGCCCCCATGTCAGCAACATTCAGAGACTCCGGTTTGATCACATGCTCATTCAGTCCGAGTCCAGCTGGCCTTGGTGAGCTCTCATTTGATCAGTCCCCTTGTATCAGAGGGTGAATGCACCCCTCGCAGTCCTGATTTTCTTTTTCATGTTCTCCCTCCTTCTGCTCCTCATTTGGACCTTGGGGGCTCAGTCCAGTGCTCCAATGTGGGT